GAGTCTTGCTCTTGTCACCCAGGCTGGAGTGCAATGGTGCCATTTCGGCTCACTGCAACCTCCGCCTCCTGGGTTCAAGTTGAGTCTCCTGCCTCAGTCTCCCGAGTAGCTAGGATCACAGGCGCCACCACCACACTCAGCTAATTTTTGTATTTTTAGTAGAGATAGGGTTTCACCATGTTGGCCAGGCTGGTCTCGAACTCCTGACTTCAGGTGATCCACCTGCCTTGGCCTCCCAAAGTGCTGGGATTACAGGCGTGACCCATCGCACCTGGCCTATTTATTTATTTTTTGTAGAGATGGGGTCTCACTATGTTGCTTAGACTGGTTTTGACCTCCTGGGCTCAAGTGATCCACCTTCCCTGGCCTACCAAAGTGCTGGGACTACAGGTGTGAGCCACCATACCTGGCTCATTTTTTTAAAAATTCAGGATTAAGTATCTGCCACAGATAACCCAGAACTGAAGGTTCAATAAGTCTCAGCATGGCTGGGCGCAGTGGCTCACACCTGTAATCCCAGCACTTTGGGAGGCTGAGGAGGGCGAATCACCTGAGGTCAAGAGTTTGAGAGCAGCCTGGCCAACATGGTGAAACCCTGTCTCTACCAAAATTACAAAAATTAGCCAGGCGTAGTGGTCAGCACCTATAATTCCAGCTACTCAGGAGCCCGAGACAGGAGAATTGCTTGAACCTGGGAGGTGGAGGTTGTGGGAGCCGACACTGCGCCATTGCACTCTAGTGTAGGCAACAAGAGTGAAACTCTCTCTTAAAAAAAAAATAAATAAACAAATAAAAATAAAAGTCTCAGCGTGTGTTTCAAAATGTTTTGTGTTGTCTTCCTTCTAACTGCCTGGTACCTATTTCTCCTGGCTCCAGTCCTTAATTACTAACACAAGAAACTACAACCAGAGAGGTTCTACACATGGATATAAATGAAATTTAACGTGCTGCCTGAATACTTACATTTTGCGAATGGGCATTTGGCTGAAGAGCTGTGGGACTGACCCATGTGAAACCAGGGTTTGGCGGTTGGGCTTGTTTAGTCCACAGGCTAGTTTTGCCAGGACCTGGAAGCATGCAAAGTGTAAAAACCTCGTTACTGTCAACCCACCAAAGTTGGTGAATATAAACATACACATAACATACACACACACACACAGAGCTTAATGGCTGTAACCAATGGTTTCTACATTAAAAACAAAAATAAAACCAGAAACTCAAGACATCTCTAAAACTTGATATCCCACAACATCATTATCCTCACTCTTCTTCCCACGTCTCTCCCATTCTCAGTTTTCCTCTAGTCATTTTTTCCTTCCCGTCTATTCCTACTTCAAGAGGTTTCAAAAGTAGAGAGACTACAGGAGAAACTCAAGCAAGATGCATTTCTCAGTGTGTCTATATAAAAATGCTGAAACATACTTGCTTTACCCTATCCCATTTACATTTCTTAATAGTTGGTCCATTTTGAGTCCCCAATTTAACACAAATTATCATAATTTAGTATCTGTTATAGAGATTGGGCTCAAAACCATTCTCCAATAACAAACACCTTCTTATAAATAACACTTAAAAATGAAAAAGCTTAAATCCTTGATAATCCTTTTTTTTTCTTTTTTTGAGACAGAGTCTTGCTCTGTCACCAGGCTGGAAGGTAGTGGCACGATCTCAGCTCACTGCAATCTCCCCCTCACTGGGTTCACGCGATTCTCCTGCCTCAGCCTC